GTCACCAGCCTCGTTTCTCTTCCTCTGGTCTTCCAAACCTTTGCAAGGACAGGTCATTCCTGAGCATAAGTGGTAACTTTCAATGTCAAGGTGAAAGGACAGACACTTACAAAAAGCCCTACAAATAAATATAAAAGAAAGGGAAAAAAAATGCAATATCTGTATAACAGATACCACTGTCTGTGTTGCTGGAGTTTGGAATAACTTGACTGAAATCAGTGGAATTATTCCAGATTTATATTAATTTAGTTGAAACAGAATTTGTATGCTGATAAAACATACAAAAAAAAAAGAAAAAAGAGTTCATTGCCAAATTTCAAAAGACGTTTAGTACCTACCTGGTGGGATTTCAGGCCTACCTGAGGAGGTTAGATGCAGCCAAGATCTGCGTGTCTGCATAGGCTCCTAATTCCTACTGAAGCACCCAAACTCCCTGTGAGATCTCTTGGAAGTTGGGTGGAAAACACCTTTGGGAATATTGGCCTCACTCCCAGTGCAGCTGAAAAGCCTCCTTTGATGGTGGAGGCAGCTTTGATATGCAGGTAGCCTGCTGAGCTGCAGCAGAAACAAACAGGCCCCACAGCGCTGCCCAGCAGGCTGGCCAGGGCCACAGCATTCAGCTTGGGGCGTTTCGAGTATCTGCTGTCTCTAAGTTTTAGAAAATAAACTCTATGTGATATTTGGGAGTTAGTGATGAGTCTTCTATGTTTAAAGCCTTTGTTTTCTTTTGCAGATGATATAATTCCATCTGAAAGCAGCTCCCTGTCTGATACAACAACCTACGATGAGGGTATGTTCGTTATCCTTTTCGTTTTATGGAGTGCATCTGTGCAGATGTATTATTTTGAGTTAATATCCTTTAGCCTTTTGGTGTGTCTTTCGTGACTAATTGTTTTATAGCAGAGAGGAAAAAAAAAAAGAGAGAGCTTAGATAAAACCTGTCTTTGTAATGGGTTAGTTATATGACTAATTGTTTTATAGCAGAGAAAAAAAAAGAGAGAGCTTAGATACAAACCTGTCTTTGTAATGGGTTAGTTATTGAAAGCTTCTGCTTCATCAGCTGATTTGGGCCTTCTTCAGAGGAGATGGATAGCTTTAATGTGATTAACTTGAGATGAGCGCACTGAGCCTTTGCGAGTAGTTTGTCTCTGGTACCTGAGCAGAGGTAAATAAAGGGCTGGAGGGTTACAAGATGACAGGAAATGCCTGACCCATCTGTCCTCGCTCTTACTAAAACTTAGAAAAATGAGGATACGCAGAGACATTCACGATGTGTTTGCATTCATCTGTTCCCCAGTGAGCTGCGTCTTGCCTGGGTCGGTGTTTGCTCCGCTTACTCATGTCGCACACCCACGGGCACACACACGCACGCCCTGTTCTTCAAGGTGGAAAGGACTTGGCTTGCCTCTCCCTTCACTGGCTAATCATCATTTGGGGACAAACATTAACTAAATTATTACTCACTTTTCAGTTAGGGCCTGATTCTGATCTTGCTTTGTCTTGGTTTTAGACTTGTATAAACCGTCTGACCCTTTAAAATGGAGATAGAGCTGTTTTTCACTGGTGCAAGTAGAAATGCCAGGGCTTTGCCTTGTGAACACATTCTCTGTGGTGCTTGGCCTGCATTATTTGTATTTGCTGGAGTTTCCTGTCGGCTTTGATAGGATCTGGATTGTGCCCTAAGCAAAGTTAGAACAAGGATTAAACCGACCACTTCACTGTTGCTTTCAGCCAAATTTGTCTGTCAGAGTCTTTGCTTATAAGCAACCTTAGAGGTTGTATTTCAGAACTGATTCTTAAAATGTCATTTTCAACTGAAGTGCTGCACGGTGAGGGAAGGGAATTGGCTTTTGCAGAAGCTGCCTGTGCCTGCTCAGCTCTGGGAGGGATGGAGCTGCAAACAGGTGCTTTCCCAAGGAAGTTCCGCTTGGTGATCTGGCAAAGCTCCGAGCAGAAATCTCTGCAGCAGTTAATCCTGCTCAAATCTGCGTGAGCCTCCACGATGCCGCTTCTGCTTGGAGGAGATCTTGGCGCAGGCATCTCAGGAGAACCTCTCTGGAGTCAGAGCTTTTGTCCTTCTCTTCACAGTGCAGCACATTTCTGCTCAGAGGCCATGCGTTTGCACACAGGGGCAAAAATGGGTAAGACTTTGCTAACAAAATACATGTTCCTTTCTAACAGGCAGTGAATCTCTTTCTGTGCCAGCACAAAGAAGCAGCTCTGCACAGCTCTCCCCAAGGCTCCCTCCACCCAAGTCCCTCGGGGTGGAGAGAATTCATCTCAGAAAATCATCCATAAATGAGCAGCTCTTCGAAACCAGACACACCAGGTACCGTATGTCTTAGTGTCCCTGTGCTCTCTGCACAGTTGGCATGAGCTTGGCTTTGTCCATGTCCAGCATTCTGACGAGTGCTCCAGAGGAGCCTGCTGCCTTTGCACTCCTCTCTGAGAAAGAATTTTGTGGAAGTGGCTCAGTTTTCTCCTTAGGATTACAGCTGATACAGGAGCACAGGTAGACTTTGGGTCTCTGTGAAAGCAGAGTAGTGTAGGCTGTGTGAAGAAGTGTGGGATAAGTGAGAAATTTAGTATCAAGGGCTGCCTTTAAAGAATTACTCATGGTACCGGTACTTGAACCCTTTCCCTCCATTTTTGTGGTTTGTTTTCAGTATTAATTAAACAGCCTGTAATTTTCCTGGTGACTTTAATTGCTTTAGGTAACACTGAACCATATCCATCCCTCCTGATTGCATCACTACTCCAGTGGGTGCATTGTCAAAGCAGACAGAATTCACATAAGCCTTGACGGTAATTTCTCCATGTCAGAATAGAGTTACTGGGGTTTGGCCAACTGCCCTCATTAGCACCAGCTGCAGTAAATGGCTGAAGTGCCTGGTAACCCACAGGACAGGACTTTTCCTGTGCTCAAAGAGCAGTTCTGGAGAGCATGTGGTTAGCAGAAGATCTACTGAAGAATGAACAGATCATATGGGCCTGATTTAGTGCTAGTTGTTCTCAGTGTAAAGATTCCTG